AAAAAAGAACATCTGAGAGGAAGGCGAGAGGAAGACCAAGAAAATATGGATAAATGGTGTAGCCTAAACCTGCAAAAAGAAGCACAAATCCAGCACTCTAGTCACCCTCTAGAAGCGCAAGACAAATACAGAAAACCACAACACTGGGCTACAACCTGGTATAAGCGAGAAGACAAAACCACGACACTGAGCTTCAACCTGGTATCAGTGAGTCCACAAAAATACGACACTTGGCTACAACCTGGTGAGCTGGTCCGGGTGTCTAGTGGGAAAGAGTTTCTCATCCCTTGAAAGTCCATCGTGTCTGAATTGTCTGCCAGTGTTCTCCTGCCACCTGCTAACAAAAGTCCAACATGTGTCCGGTATACCAATCGTAATCTTGCCGCTCGGTCGTTCAGGTATGCAGACTGCTTTAATTATGCTACCGCGACGACTTCTTATATCACAGTACCTTCTGCAAATCACCAATTCGTCTTGTCCCCACCCGAATAACATCAGGTAATTCGTGCAGCAGGGGAAACTAACCCTGAGCTTCATGAACTCAGGTGGGCCCACTCTCTTAAAATGTCTAGGAGCGTGTGGGACGAAACATTTGTCGACGAGAGATTACTTCTACTGATGATTGGTAGAGCCCTGCTGTACATGCTCCCCGGTGGAGTTTATTCTTATTGTACGTGGCTAGCCCACAAGACAACCAGGAAAGGCTGGTGACGATCGGGAAAGACTTTTAGACACCTATGGAAAGACTGGCTCCCCGGTATCGCCGGGGGAGGGGGGGGGGGCGGGATAAACTGACATCTGGAGACAGATGTCGACTGTGGACCAGGTTGATCACCCCTAACACAGTATAATACCTCCGATTTCGCAAACTAATATAGAAATATGCCCCCAGGGCCCATCGAAAGAGGGGGAGAATGATGGGCCCAATCAACTTGATACAAACGGTAACGACCCTGCTAGCTCCCGGACTCCGACTATTGCCCAACGTCCGGATTGGCTCTGTACATGTGGAAAAAGCTTCACGGGGTTGCATTGTCTGGGAAGGCATGCCGGAAGGATGAAATGTGAGGGTGCTCCACGCAGTAAACGCCGTCGCAAAACTACTACTCTCGTGGTAGTTTCTGAGTCGTTAGGGAACGACAGGGTGAACCCCACTCGCCCGGAGAGGCCCATGACGTCGACTGCAGAGGTGCACTTTGATGATTCCCGAGGAAGTGCGTACCAAGATCAGGTTTATACCAGCGAGCGATAAGGTGTCGTGGTGCAAGTTAGAAGGTACATTATGTGAGATTCTAAATCAAGATTTAAAAATGAAGTCGTTAGACGACAAGCTTACAAAGTTTGTGATGTAATTTCGGAACAGTTGAAAAGGCGCCGCCGGGCGTCAAGCAGAATATACGCAGGAGACAGAGAGACATTCTGAAGTGTCGGTCAGACAAGAATGCCCTCAGAAAACGATTCAAAGCCGCTACAGGCAGCGAACGGGATGGGCTGGATGAAGTCTGGTTGCATATAAAGAACAGACACGGTGACATCTGTCGCGCTGAGCGTTTCTGTAACAACAGAAGAAGAATCAAAAAGGAGCGAGAGAAATTCTTTAGGGACCTGTTCCAGTTTGCCTGAGGTCTATTCGAGCAACCGAAGTCTGGGACACTGGTTGTCAGTAAAGAGGAGCTTGAGTTACATTTACGCCAAATGTACTCTGACAAGAAGAGGAATGAGCCTCCCGATAACAGTCCAGAGATCCTTAGCGGTCTCATGCAGCCTGAGTTGCCGAAGGTACCATTTAAAGTGATACCTCCCCTTTGGTCTGAGGTTGAGGAAATTGTGAAAACAGCCAGCGGCAAGTCTGCTCCAGGTCCGAATGGTGTTCCGTACGTTCTTTACAAGCGTTGTCTGAAAATCCTACGAATGCTTCACGGCTTGTTGAGACAAGCTTGGAGCAGTAAACCGATATGTCCAGAGTGGCAAAAGGCTAATGGGGTCTACATTCCAAAAGAGCAGGACTCGAAGAGTCTTTCCCAATTCAGGTCCATTTCGCTGTTGAATGTTGAGGGCAAAAAATTCTTCTCGGTCATGGCTCGCCGGCTCACACAGTATCTGATGGCGAACAAGTACATCGATACGAGTGTTCAAAAGGGTGGTATCCCGAGCGTTCCTGAGTGCCTCGAACACGCGACCATGATTTGGGAGTCTATCCAGAGAGCCAAGCATGAGAGAAAACAATTGCACGTTATATGGTTGGACCTAGCCAACGCCTACGGGGCAGTATCCCATAGGCTACTGTTGCAGGCCCTTCGCATGTTTCACGTACCGGCCCAGATCAACGAAATGATCGAGCAATATTTCTCCAAGTTCGCTTTGCGCTTCTCTACCTCGACGTTTACCACGTGGTGGACTGAGCTACAAGTTGGGATAGCTATGGGCTGTACGATCTCACCAATACTGTTCGTCATGGCCATGCAGATCATGTTGGACGGGGCGGCCGGCTACGGACAGGGCCTTCAAATAGGGGATCACTGGATGCCTCCACGACGTGCCTTTATGGATGACACGTCTATTATCACGGGTAGTGAGGAATCTGCCCGAACGATCCTGAAAAGTTTGGACGCTGTGGTCCAATGGAGCGGTATGCAGTTCAAACCGCAGAAGTCAAAGAGTCTGTAAATCCTTAGGGGTCGGGTGGCGGCAACTAGTTTTACGTTGGCAAGGAATAAGATCCCCACGGTTTTGGAAACTGGTAAAGAGCCTTGGTCGCGTTTACGATTCGAAGTTATCTGATAGAGCGGAGGTCCTGCGAATACACGAGTCACTGGCTACAGGCCTGCTCGCGATCGAGCGTAGCAGGCTGATCGGGAAGTTCAAAGTCTGGTGTCTCCAATTCATGTTGATTCCAAAGCTCCTCTGGCCGCTGTTAGTCTACGAAGTGATGATGACTGCAGTGGAGACGATGGAGAAAAAAATCAACACAACCTTGAGAAAGTGGATTGGTGCACCGCCTTGTCTGACTGACGTGGCTCTGCATTGTAAGCAGGCTGAGCTAGTACTCCCGTTCAAATCGATAACCGAAGAGATTAATGTCGGCAAAGTAAGACTCGCCATGCTCTTGCGCTAGTCTTCAGACCCAAATGTCATCGCAGTCTAGCCCGCTCTAAAGACTGGTCAGAAGTGGAGAGTCCTCGATGCGAATCTGCTCAGAATGCACTAAAATTGAAGGAGATAATGGGATACACTCAAACCGACCGTCGAGGCCTGGGTCAATTGGTGGTCCAAAGCCCCAGCCAAATAGCGCCGAGACATGGTAATACAACACGTTAGGACAACGAAAACGAGGTTCGGCTCCGGAAAGCAGCCCAGCAGTCGCAGCAGGGCCACTGTGTCAGCCTGGAGAGCGCATTGCCAAGAGTACTCACATGGGGTGAGATCTGGCGAATGACCCCGCTGCGACTGAGCTTTATCGTTCGTTCTGCGTACGATGTATTACCGTCCGGTGTCAACATGGTGAAGTGGTCTGCGACTAACGATCCGACTTGCCCGCTATGCAGAGCGAAGCAGACGTTAGAACACGTTCTGTCCGCATGCAGGAAAATCCTAGGTCAAGGCCGATACACCTGGCGACAAAAAAAGGTGCTAAAAGAGTTCGCAGCTGTTGTTGACCAGGTTAGGACGAGGGCCAACGCGAGGGCCAGTCCTACCATCATCCCCATAAGTTTCCTCAAGGCTGGGCAGATTCACAAAAGTAGAATCAACAAAGACGCATACGCTCCATCTATGCCAGACTCTGCGAGGGACTGGTTACTGTCGGTTGACCTGCCTGGTCATGAAAGGTACCCTGAGTCAATTCAGAAGACCGGCCTGCGACCTGACGTAGTTCTCCACTCTGCAGAGAAACTGCAGCTCATCGTGAATGAGCTGACCGTCCCGTATGAGTCGCTAATGGACGAAAGCTATATGTAAAAGCTCGATAAATACAGTGACTTAGTAGCCGGTCTGAGGAGAGACGAAGCGTACACAGTACGAGTCTTTGCCGTCGAAGTGGGAGCGAGAGGCCTCGATTCCACTTCACTCTACAATGTAATTAAAGAACTAGGATTGCGCGGTAATGAACGCAAACGGACACTTAAACAGCTGGGCGAGGTTGCTGAGAGGGCCTCGAGCTGGCTCTGGACACAAAGAATCAACGTAGGGGACGGGCCTCGGTGAGCTGGTCCGGGTGTCTAGTGGGAAAACGTTTCTCATCCCTTGAAAGTCCATCGTGTCCGAATTGTCTGCCAGTGTTCCTCTGCCACCTGCTAACAAATGTCCAACATGTGTCCGGTATACCAATCGTAAGCTTGCCGCTCGGTCGTTCAGGTATGCAGACTGCTTTAATTATGCGACGACTTCTTATCTCACAATACCTTCTGCAAATCACTAATTCGTCTTGTCCCTATCCGAATAACATCCGGTAATTCGTGCAGCAGGGGAAACCAACCCTGAGCTTCACGAACTCAGGTGGGCCCACTCTCTGAAAATGTCTAGGAGCGCGTGGGCCTAAACATTTGTCGACGAGAGATTACTTCTACTGATTATTGGTAGACCCCTGCTGTACATGCTCCCCTGTGGAGTTTATTCTTACTTATTGGTGTCAGTAAGATGACAAAACCACCACACTGGGCTTCCAGTATCCTGGTATCGATGAGACCGCAAAACCACGACACTCGGCTACAACCAGGTATCAAGGAGACCACAACACCACGACACAGGGCTACAACCAGGTATCAGTGAGACGATAAAACCGTGACACTGGGCTACAACCTGGTATTGGTAGAAGAAATGTTTATGTTTTTAATGCTTTATGTAGGAATGTCAGTTAATTAATATGTTTACACTTTTTGTTTAAGTTCACACTAGAAAACACAGTGCAATAATATTTATTTTTGCATCCACACACACATACACACGCACACAACACATATCAGATTAATTATTTTTATTGTAACGCACTATTCAGAACACCATTATTGCTGTCTGCCACATGTAAATTGAAACATCACGTCAGATAAATGATCATTACACCCAGGATGAATATCCGTATCTTCAGATGCCACAGTTATGTCCCAGAAAGGGAAGTAAATAACACGGTCTTGTAGATCCCTGAACGTCTCCTTCTGTATTGTGGTAATATACTGAGCCCAGGCATCAGTAGATAAGCAGAAATAAGGGGGATGCTCTGCAACATGTGGTCCCTGAAAAAGATTGTTATTTTAACATTGTAGTCAATAAATCTGGTAATCTTGTAATCTTAGTTTCAGCTTTATAGCAAACGGGTCACCCCATAGTTGCCCCGGACCAGTGCCAGCGACAAACACACAGTGTCCGTTACTCTGTCTTGTGGAAAGATTGACACAACTGCAGTCTAAGCATACCCACTGGTATGCGCAGGCAAGCAACAGTATTGGTCATTGTTCTCTCCAAAACGTTATTTAAGTCTATAGACCAAAACTTTTAGTCTGCCTGCATTCCTGCCTGCCTGCCTGCCGGGTGGTTTGTCTGTCTCCGTGTGTGTGTGTATGTGTGTGTGTGTGTGTGTGTGTGTGTGGTTGTGTGTGTGGTTGTGTGTGTGTATGTATGCCAGTGCATGAAACTGAAATTGGACAGGGTACTTCTGAATTACAAACAGCTTTCAGAACGTCTAAGCCACAGACTTCGAATAGCTGACTGACTGACTAGGAAACCAACCAACAAAACAACTGATTAATTAACTAACTAAACAACTAACTGACTGGTTATCCGAAAAACTAACTAACTGACTGACTGACTAGGTAATTAACTAACAATCCAGCTGACTAACTACCCATCTGACTAAGTAACTAACTCACTGACAAACCAACTAACTAAATACTAACTAACTAACTATCTAACTGACTCCGAACTGGCTGGCTAACTAATTATCTAACTGAACAATTACCCACCTGATTGACTGACAAACTAACAGATGCCTAATTGACTGACTGACTGACTAACTAACTAACAGATATACAACTAACTAGCTAACTGACTCACTGACTGACTAACTAACTAAACAGCCACCTAACTACCTAAATAACAGACTTTCTAACTGGCTAAGTAACTAACAGACTAATTAATTAAATATCAAAGTCACTAACTATCTAGCTATCTAACTAACTCACTGACTGGCTGACCGACAAACCGACTAAGTAACTAACTAATAAACTAACTGGCTACCTACCTAACTAACTAACTAACTAACTAACTAACTAACTAACTAACTAACTAACTAACTAACTAACTAACTAACTAACTAACTAACTAACTAACTAACTAACTGACCGACTAACCGACTAAGTAGCTAATTAAATATTTAACTAACATACTACCCAATCGACTAACTAATTAACTAAGTAATTATCTAACTAACTAGCAGACTACTAGCTAACTATCTAACTAAGCAACTACCCAACTGACTGACTGACTAACTAACTTTCTAAGAGAACGGGCTACCCAACTAACTAACTAACTAATCTATATTAATAAGAATGTTAATTTTCCGTGGTCCTTACCTACAGACTGAGAAACTACAGAACCGATGTTTTTTTTAAAACTTTCATACAACGTTGCCTTTGACTCAATGCGTTTTTTTCGGTCAGAAAATCGCACAACACACGAACGACGTAGCTCCAGGAACGATCAAATCATTATTTGTTTCGTTTCCCTCCCGGATTTGTTTTTTTTTTTTTTTTGGTTGATTGGCCACCTTCGACTGCTGATCAGGGCTGCCAATAGATGCCTTTTCCTCCATGATACATCTCCGACATTTCTTAACCGATCTCTTTCAAATTTTTACAAAACGTTGCCTTAGACTCCGCGCCTGTTTGTATGTATGAGTGTTGCACAAACTACGAACGATGTAGCTCTAGCAACGATCATTTCATTAGTTATTTTGTTGCCGGCCTGCATTTGTTTTTAGTTGATTGGCCACCTTTGACTGTGTAACACTGAACTTCACATTATTATTACATAATTTCATTTATACTAAATGCTTGAGTATTTGGTAGCGTATTTGTAGGCATTCCGCCTTTCTCGCGGGTGATCGGCGTTCGATTCCCCGCAGGATAATATAATTTTTTTGAGGGTTTCTAACTGGGTGGCTGTCACGTTTTGTTGAGGTTTATAACTAGGCTGCGAAATTTATGCCTTTTTTTGGGGCTCGGTTTTGTGGTTTACAGCTAGCTAGCTATAGTGGTGACGTGATGCTCAATGGTCATGTCACGAGTAATATTTGTTCGCCCTTGAGAGGGCGGGTGACACGTTGTGTTGTGGTTTACAGCTAGGCTTCTATATCTGACCTAAAGTCTTCAGTCTTCGGCAGTATAGTTGTAAGTATTCAGTCCTTAACGCGAGTGACCGGTGTTCGATTCCACGCTGGGTGCTAATTTTTCTTTTTTTTTTCTTTAAGGGGAGGTTGGCACGTTGTGTTGCGATTTACAGTTAGGTTGC